AAAGTTCTGAGGTCGATGCTCTTAATATTCTCCACTGACTTCGGTCACCAGTGGATGGTGGAAGTGCCTCCCTTAAAGACAAAGGAGATCATGGCGCACTCTTGGCTGGTGGGCTCCAGCCTGTTGTCCGGAGGACTGTGATGGTGTGGCCTATAGCTAACCTGCATAGACACGTAGTAGGAAGAAGAATGAATCTTGGCTAGTCAATGCTACTGACATGCTGGGCATGTTAGTTACTGCAGTACAATCCAGCCTGACTATCCAAATACAAAGAACTTGATCGTTATAACCATGCTGATTTTCTTTCTAGCTCTTCTGTCAAAACTGGTGGGTTTTCGTTTGTTTTGTTTTTTGTATTTTTCTGGGAATAGGGATCAGAATCATGTTCTGATGAACTTTCATTTCTGTTCTAGAGCTGTTTTCCATGAAAAATCTGACTCAATCAAGATTTACAAAACACCATTGAACAGCTACAGGAAACACGTGCTATTTAGGGACACACAGAACATGGTCAGTGCAGCTAGACCCAAGAAAGTTAACAGGATCCCAGCCATGGAAGTATATTCTCTGTCTACAGTAAAATTAATTTTGAAGTTACTAACTATAGGATCTTTGTAGAGTCTTCCAGAATAAAGAACACACTCCTCTTTGGATGCAGAAATGGAGAGAATGCTTTGGAGCAAATGAACATGAAATTACACCACATGCCAGCATTCCCAGAACCACTACAGCCACTCTTGAGACACATCTCCAACACCAAGCAGAGCACCTATTTTTAGAAAGGACAAGTCCTTCTCAAGTCACCTTTAAAGGGAATTAAAATAACAATGAATTCAGCTGTGACCAATCACAAGAAATTAAATAATACAATCAGGCTCCATAAATATTAAAGGAACATCAAGGGGTGCTATGGACAATTTTAAGTCAACGAAGAGCAGTTGTCAGGGAAGGATCGAACTCCTAAAGCCACTGCAGAAATCAATGGGAGGCCTGGAGGGCCTCATGTTTTTAGGAAACTTGAATTTTACTTTAACATCTCCCCATAAGACAACAAATAAAGCATCCAGTTCAGAGACTTCACTCCAGTGAAGTGAATATTTATAGAACAACTCTAATTCTACCATTCTCCCAGAAAACTATTACAAATGGAAGACTCTCACGTGGTTTGGTCCCAGGGTTTGCGTGTGTGTGTGTGTGTGTGTGTGTGTGTGTGTGTGTGTGTGTGTGTGTGTGTGTGTGTAGGGGCACACCACTCAGTCCTCAGTGTGGCGGTGTTGAGAGGTGGGTGGTAGGACCTCTAAGGAGTGAGGCTCAGGCCTGGTGAGATGGTTCAGTGGGGAAAGATGCTTCCGGCATATGCCTGATAGAAGAGCTGATAAAAGATGGAAGGAGAGAATCAACTCCACAATGCTGTCCTCTGACCTCCATGTACGTGCCTCGGCACGCTCACTGCCCCTGTACATATACATCATTTGCAGCACAGTAATGAGAGTGATAAAGTTTTAAGAAGTGGGGCCTAGTGTGAGCTAATCGGAAATCATGTGACCCCATGTGCCCACTCACAGCCCTGACATAAACGTGTGCCAACCAGAAGAAAAGGGAGATACATGTTGTAGTGTTTCAGAGTCCCAGGGAAAGATGGAAAGTCCATGCTACTCCTATACCTGTGCAGAAAAGAAAGCACGCTCAAGAACCTGGGCAGTGACGTAAGAGATGCAACAGGGGCTGATTGAGGTCTGCTGATGGGAATTCAGCCCCCAAGGCAGTCCTCCTCGGAGTTAGTGATGGCTTCAGCAAGACGGGGAGTCACCTTAAACATTTGCTGATACACCAACAAGTTAAAAGCATCCATACAAATGAACATAAACATTAGAATGATGTTTGTCACAAGGATTATATTTACTAATTCAACAAAAAAATAATGTTAGTTGCTGGGCATGATGGAGCACACCTTTAATCCCAGCACTTGGGAGGCAGAAACAAGGTGGATCTCTGAGTTTGAGGCCAGCCTGGTCTACAGAGAGAGTTCCAGGATAGATAGGGCTACACAGAGAAACCCTGTCTCCAAAAAAAAAAAGAAAGAAAGAAAAAAGAGAGAGAGAGAGAGAGAGAGAGAGAGAGAGAGAGAGAGAGAGAGAGAGAGAAAATAATGTTGAGATAGAATTACACCAATAAAAAAGATGAGGAGCCAGAGAATTTCACCAAGGACAAAGTAAAGCCTGTTTATTTATTATGGTTGTATGGCCAACGTGGTATCTAAAAATGATTAACCCAGCTGGTGTTTGTCCGGACAATGAAGCAATAGTTTGAGGTACTCTCATGTCTCTACAACCTGACTAAATATCCAGAGGGCAAACAGACAAAGTCCTGAAAGTTCCATGTTTTGCTGGGGTTACGGGAAAGCAAGGTGACGTTTCTTGTTACCTGTCTATTGAAAAAAAAAAAATGTGTCAGCATGCAGCCCTCTCCTCATAACACTCATGCATGAGGGCCACATTTGAGGGGATGTATTTGTGCCCCGCACTTCCTGAAAACCTGTATGTAATGAGCGGTGGTAGAGGTGCGGCTGGAGAATCACATGATTTGATACCATTTAAATATCTCATTTAATAACAAATATTGTAATTTAATAATCAAAGCCAAGAAAAGGCCATGTCAATCCATATGAGAAAAAATGTTTACCCAAGGGGTGATGTGATCACACACACACGCACACCCCAGAAGGAATTCATAGCCAGGCCTCATTTCCACTTGCTTAGACTGTAGAACCAACTGGATGTCCTCTCTAGCAAACAACCTTATAGACCCCACCACCACCACCTCATTGTGCCAAGTGTCCTGGCCTTCCAGCCTCATCCTGTGTGTGTTTTTCTCTAGTAGATATTCTCTATGAGATCTGAAACCCAATGATCTTGCTGATGGCGGGGTCAGTGGGCCATAGCAGGCCATAGCGGGCAGCCAGCTGGGTTACAGTGGACAGGTAATTGAATACAACAAAGACCACGATCGATACCACAGCTACCATAGAGGATCTTCCCATTACCTGGTGTGACTCGGGCAAAATGCAACTGGCCAGGTCTCCTTTCCAAGAACTGGCGAATGCCGTCACCAGGAGCACCCCCCCATCTAGATGCTATGAACCAATAGGCTCCTTAGTTCCTGCTTCCGGATGGGGCGGGTCAATGGTGAGTGCTGCAAGAACTGGCCACCCAACAGGATTCATGACCAGCAGCCCAGGGACAGGGCCATCTGCACAAGCAAGCTGGGAGAACACAGCATGCTTCACCACGCCAGGCCTGGGGACAGTTTGCCGAGAACGGGAACTGCACTTATTTTGGGCAATTTGGGTCGGGTTTCTCACTCCATTTTACTGCTGGTCAGAGGAGAATTTGGCCAGTACTGGTCCTACATGTAGCTGTTGGAATCTGCGACCAGGACTATTTGATGCCGCGCCTAGCCCTGGTCAATCCTGCTGCCAATGACTAGTCTCTGTCCTTCCACTGTACAGCCTGCCTGCTGCTCAACTCAGCCCCAGGAAAAGGGACAAATCAACAGGATTTCCCATTCCACCAAGTGGGTCAGAGCTGGTCCCACAACCACAGTCACCTGGCTTTCCTCAAGACTCCTGTGTCCACAGGGGGCCTCTGTATCATAGTCACCAGTTCCTCCCAACTGTCCTTACCCACCTGGCATCTGAGTCCCAGCTCTGAGCTGGGACCCTTCAGCCCTGGCTGCACAGTCGAGGCCCGGGGCTGAAGATGTTCCGGCTTGGCCTCACACAACCGCTCACAAGGGTTCAGAGCCTGACCAGATGTCACACAGACTGCAGTAACAGCCAGGCTCAGCTGCTTACCCCAGCTTGGCCTCTGTCTGACGCCCGCAGCTTCCTCTGAGGACCCGTTTTCTCAGGTGAGATTTCATTTCTTGGGCAGTACCGCTCTTATGACTGAACCACACTCGACTGCTCTAAAGGCAAAGGGCTGTTCCGAGTGCATCCGAATCAGAAGACTGGCTGTTGCCGAGGCTCAGGTTCCCTAGCCTTCATCCCTCCTTTTCAGGTAAGGAAGGCTCACGAGACAACCTGCTGCTGGGAAGACCACTGGACGTTCCACAGATGGGAGCTGAGCCTGGGCAAGCTGATCAAATGCTTAATATTACCTTGATTCTCAGATGCCTGGGGGAATTCACAGAAAGTGGGGGTGGGCGGGAGGGGGGGGGTGGCAGCGGCGGTGGCGCATGCCTTTAATTCCAGCACTCAGGAGGCAGGGGCAGGTGGATCTCTGTGAGTTTGAGGCCAGCCTGGACTACAGAGTGAGTTCTAGGAAAGGCTCCAAAGCTACACAGAAAAACCCTGACTTGGGGGAAAAAAAAGTGGGGGTGGGTGGGTGATATACAGAGGTGCACGCACCCCAGCACCAGTTAGTCTCACTCTGCCCTGCCGTGGACACTGGTAAACCTCACCATGCCCCAAGTGGCTTTGTGAACACAGGCTCAAATAAGCAACCCTCAGCTAGCACTTTTCTCACACTTGAACAGAAAGCTAAGTACAGGCAATGTGACAGTCCGCCTGGCCGGGGCCGGAGACCAGCTCACACAGCTACTCTCTGAAGCCTCCACAAAAGAGATCCTACTGCTTCTCCCGTCAGCAATACCCTGAAAATTACTGGGTCCAGGGAGAGCAGAGCGAGGTTTGGCATGTTCATTTTCTAAAAGGACCCTGATGGGATCCTGGCCATATCCAGTCCTCACAGAGGCCCTAGGACGAGGAAGGTACTGCCTGACAACAGAGCCACTCTAAATGCAGTCCCCAGCCCAGGCACTCTGCACCCATCTGTGCAGCCATGCCCTTGGTGCCAATCCTCGAACCCAAGCCTCAAGGACAGACCTGAATATGTCCCTTCTAACCAGCAAGGGCGTTGGCGGGTCACATGGCGAGCGAGTGTCTCTGCACCCTTCCCCACGGCCATCTCACGCCCCAGGAGACAGAAGCCTCAACTTACCTGTGCTGCCCAGAGGTAGTCCAGCCGCAGTCTAACATCCACTTGCCTGGCATGCAGGGCCAGTGTGCATGAGAACAGCAAGATAGCCATGATTGGCTCATAGCTGCGCCCAGAGAGGGCACCGCCCCTGGGGAGGTAGAGAAGAAACCCCATCAGTGTCGGTTTCCAGGCAAGACATGGTCATCAAACCCTAGGTCTGGGCAGAGAGCCATCTCTGAGTAGTGAGGCCTACAGCTTGTGGTCCTGACCCCAGGCCTGACACTCATCTCAGCCAAAAGTTAGAGGCCTTGCTAGAGTCTGGACTGAAAAAGAGAAATGGGTTGGGTGGCAGTAGCACACACCTTTAATCCCAGCACTCGGGAGGCAGAACCAGGCGGATCTCTGTGAGTTCGAGACCAGCCTGATCTATAGAGTTAGATCCAGGACAGGCACCAAAACTACACGGAGAAACCCTGTCTTGAAAAACAAACAGGGGGGTGGGGAGCCACTAACCTAAGTAAAATTTATATATTTGGTTCACATTGGCTTTTTAATTGGTGCACATGCACATGCACATGCAAAAGTGTGTGTGTGTGTGTGTGTGTGTGTGTGTGTGTGTGTGTGTAAGAGATAGGGAGGGAGGGAGAGAGTGCTATGACTGTACAGTTCACAACTGAGGCGATGATCAAGAATAATAGAGATGAATGCAAACTATTATCCGCGGAGAACGATGATTAATATCACCCCGTCTGGAGCGTTCCGCCGGGGCACCACACTTACCCAACCTTGGTGTATCCACTGAGCTCCAGGACCAGGATGTAGGATGTGGTCAGCCCAGACAGCAGGATCATCTTTGGCAAGGAGGACACCCGCAGGAATATGGCTAGTGGAAGGGTGCCCACCAGGCAGCAGAGCAGGGCGTGGTGTGCAGACTCACAGGGCAGGGCAGGCAGCACAGTGCGCCGGCCGCCAGCCGCAAGGACCACTAGGGAGCTGTTGGACTGAGAGCTCCAGGCCCAGGGCAGGCAGCCCACCTGGGGAGCAAGGGCAGGAAGGCTTAGGCAGGCCCAGGCCACGTACAGCAGCCCCTGGGAAGACTGTCCCAGCCTCACTGATCCCCCAGCCTTCTGCAGTAGCCACTCCCCGGCCTCTGACACCACCAGCCAGGCGTAAACTGCCTCTGCTGCTGCAGCCTGCAAAGGCTCCTGACTATTTATAGGAAAGGCTGGGGACGAGCAAGGTGGACCAGGTAGTACCAGCCCCTGCCTGGTCTCCAAGACCCGAAACTCCATCTTGTGTCACAACTCCATCGACTCCTACCACCCCGACTATGTCTCCTAGCTCCTGGCTCAGCTTCTCCAGCCTGTTGCTTCGCCCCCCCCCCCCCCCCCCCCCCCCGCATACCAAAAGTTAGTGACACTCACCACACATCCTTGAGCTACTGAGTAGATTAAGACCACTATGAATACACACAAAACAGTGCGAATCTGGATCGTCAGGCACCCTGGAAAACACTGAACAAAGAAACCTCACTTTAGAGCTAGGGATGCAGCTCAGTGGTAGAGTGTTGCCTAGCATGTGCAAGGCTCTGGATTGTAAGCCCAGTGACCCATTGGAGGGCAGGGGTGTGGGGGGAGCTTTAAAAACTACGCTGTGATTATGAAGTAACTTGATGCTCACAGCAAGCCATCCAAGCGAGGCAGGATGGGAAGGGTGTCTTGCCTGTTTCTAGAGGCTTATTAGGTCTTCATCCTCCTATGCAAAGGTTTTCCTTATTTCTATCTATTTATTTCCCATGTGAAGAACTTGCCAAAAAAAATTCAGAACACACAGGGACACAGACACACACACACATAGCATTTAAATTTAAAGGAGAAACACCCACCCATCTCCCTCTCCTAGGCACATTGACTGGCACCAAAAGTAACTGAGTAGAAGCACTGGGCATTTTTGTTATAATGCATTCTCCAACCTCAGGAATTCCATTTACCCCTCCTTCCTCTCTCTTTCCATCTCTGTCTTTCTCTCTCTATGTCTCTCTCTCTCTCTCTCTCTCTCTCTCTCTCTCTCT